CAACAGCGTTAGCTGTGACAACCACATGACTGCCATGAACACGCGGTAAGAGACACCAGAACCCACAAAGAAAACAACAAATCCATAGTTCATCAGTGCGAGTGTAAGTGGAACGCAGAATTCCGGTCCATGGAGAAACGCAACAAAGCAAACACCTAAAATGCTTTGGTAAATGTGGAGTGCACGTACCCCTATTCTCGCAAAAAACGCCCAACGAATGACACGAGATCCCATCGCAAAGCAAGTGTACAGCGCAATCAAGAGCCAAAACCATCTGTCGAGGGCTTTCCATTGGGCATCACCCAAACCATTGTAACCAACGGAATTGAATGGCGGCGTTGACAACCATTTCCATCGCGGGGGTTGAACATAATGCCGTCCAATGTGTACCCGCGACGCCTCCGAAACAATAATGAAGCCAGAAAAAATGGCACCTACCAGTAAACTAGCATATAAAATATACTCTAAAGAAAGGCGAGATTTCACAAGATCAGAATTGTTTTGAGCCGGACAGCCATTGGCTTCATTCTCTAACGTCTCCTTCGTCAAAGGCACCAGAGTGGACACCTCCAAGTGGGCATCCGCAACCTGCAAGGGACTACGTCTGAGCATATTAGCGCAATTTTTCTCCTCACTCATTTAAATTTACAAGAAAAGACTTTCGCGAAAAAAAAAGGCCAAGGTGTTGTATGCCATTTTCATCGGTCACCAAAATTTCGCAGCGGGAAAGGAGCAAAGAAATCAAAAAAAAAAAAAAAAAAAAAAAAAAAAGAGAAAACAGCTGTCATACACAATTACAAATTCACTTAAACTCACCTTCCCAACACCTCTTTCCCCTATTTCCCAATGTCAAATAAAAACATTTGTATGTGCGAGAGAGGGGCAAGGTAAACAACGGAGAAAGTAAGGAACAGAAAGAGCGTTACTCAACATTTCCTCAAAGCGCCTGTTCTGCCTCCATTTGCTCCTACGGCCCAATTCTTTTTGTTCCCATGCGCCGGCGTTAAAACAAATAATGTCTTCTCCAGAAATGGCGAGAAAAAACTATGGGATTGTGAACACAAAACAGCCAGGAATGGCATTAATGGACTGCTATGTGCCAACAGAGCATCTTCGTTGGGCAAAAGGTCCTTAAGAACGCCACCCTGCACAAGTTTAGAGGTCTCCAGAAAAGGTTTCAACGTGGTCCTCATGTTTTCCAGCGACGCCAGTGGCGCGAGCGACGGAAGGACGCGATTTGCCTGCCGATTGCTTTGAATGTGAAGAGGGGCCCACATGTGGCGCGGTACACCGGCGCTGGCAAAGACACGGCGGCCAAACATGCGGCAGTGACTATTAATATATGAGGCAAAAAACTTCCCCACGGTGGCGAAGTACAGGTCAGCCAAAAAAACAGAAAAAAAAAAGAAATAACAAAAAACAAACAAGCACTTCAATTAAACCCTCTCCTCGGCTCATTCAAAGAGTGCAGCCGCAACACACAATTGGGGATGACAGCCTGGCTCAATGCACTCAACATGCTCGCACACCCCAAAAGGGAATTCACTCCACACTCATGCACACACACAAGAAGTGGCAGTCTTTCGGGCTCCGCAGCCGCCGGACCCCTCACCGTGTGGAGGCCAGTCGTGGCGGAGTGGTCGGCATCTTTGGAGGCAAAAATCAAGTAAAAAAGAAAAAAAAACACGGTTATATAAAAAGGACACGGTATACTCCACCTGACTCCATCCGATAGCACATTCCTTTCCACAAGATTCCAAGAGGCAAGAGGTGTACTGCCACCGCAGTGCGCTGAACACCCATTCCCCATCGTCAGCAGGGCGCAAAAGAAAACAAAAATAAAGAGAGAAATACTGCAACATCCAAACACATTGATTTCATACCCGGCATGCACGTGAAAAGAATAGGCGCAAAAACAGAAACAAAAAAACAACAACAACTATGTCACAATTTGCTTTACGCTCAGACCGTGCAAAGACCGTCCGCGCCGCCGCGTTGCCGTCTCGCTATCACGCTACGAAAGACCCACTGGTGAACAACCCAAAACAAAAAAAAACACGAACAACAAAGGACTAATTGCCGGGTGGGAATCAAAAAGAATGTGGCAAACGATTTGTGTTGTTCTGGACCCAACGCCAGACACCAGCGGCTGCAAACTAAAGCCCACAATGCAAGCGACTATCAGAATTGCGTGGCTAAAAGCGGTACAGGCGCTTCACAGCTCCAATGAAAACATCAAGTTTCATTGCTGAAAGAAAAGGTGTGG